CTTGGTGTTGTCAGCACCACGCTCACCCAGTGAGCTAACCGGCCATCCCTATGTAGGATCCGAACCCGCGGCCTTGGTGTTATCAGCACCGCACTCTCCCGAGTGAGCCACAGGCCATCCCTATATGGGATCCGAACCCGTGGCCTTGGTGTTATCAGCATCGCACTCTCCCGAGTGAGCCAGGGGCCGGCCCCCTAACACGATTTTTTAAAAAAGCTAATTCCAACCATCCACAAACAGAACATACCTGTGAAATACCAGAAGCGTGCCATTAAAATCAAGGGTAAAACAAGAACGTCTTTATCAGGGCCCGTGGAACATTTTTCGACAAGACCTAGTCAATGCAATAAAACATGAAACAAAAGCAAGAAGTGTATCAAAAGGGAGAGGCAGGAGTGATGGCCCATCTAGAGAACCCAAAATAATCAACTAAAACATTCCCAGAATTAATAATAGGGTTCAGAAAGTAACTATGTACATAAAGAAAAGGGAAAAAAAATCACTTGCTTTTTGTTACCCCAACAATAATCAGTAGCAGCCTGGTAGGGGTGCAGATGGGAAAACCGCTTTACAATAGTCACAGTAAATTTCTTAGAAATAACAATTTCTAACAATCTGAGCAGGATCTGTATGAAACAAACTACAGGTCCATTACGATTCTGTGCAGGAAAACCGAACAAATGCGGTACCGAGTGAAATTCCATGTGATCTGGGAAAATGTGTTAACATTCCAAATTCCATCTGCATAAATAAATTGACAATCACTAAGATGTTTTTGAAAAAGAGTATGATATGGAGAACTTGCCATTCCAGATGTGAAAAAATAGTCTCAATTTAAATACTGTGGAATGTTGGTTCAAGACGAGACAGATGAATGAAATAGAGTTGAATGGCCCAGACTCGCACAGGTATAAAACCTCACATGATAAAAAGAAGACACAAAAGTTAATGGTGAAAGAGGATATGAATTAATAACTATCATGAAAATAATATTTGCTGTTTGGAAAAAGTCAGGTTTCATTTATGTGTCACATCATTGGTCAAAATAATCCCAGGCAAATTAAAGAGTTAACTGTAAAATAAATAAATAAGACATTAAAAAAATCCAGAGGGAACATTCAAGTGAGTACAGAGAGGCTCTTTTAACACATAAAAGCCAACGAGGAATTCAGGAAGGGAAAAACCCACGTATCTTACCACGTGAAAATGCAAGCTTCTGCATGCCAAAAGCAAAAGCCAAAGACGGGGAAATATTTGTCACAAAGATCACAACTAAAGGAGAAACATTTCTGGTTTATAAAGAACTTGTTAAAATGGATAAGAAATAAATGCATCCTAACAGGAAAAAAAGTGGGCATAGATGGTGGGCAAAAAAAACCTATAATTTACAGAAAGGGTAACAGAGGCTGACGAAGTAAAGCACAGAGGCCTTGCAGGTAATCAAAGAAAGGTTAAGAAAGGAATGTGAGATACATTTTTTTATCTTTTAAAATATTGAAACAAATATTTTTCTTTTTTTTTAAACTAAAAGATAAACTCATTGCCCACCAGTGCATAAATTAAAGCGGCCTTTTGGTCAGGCGGTTCAAATTATAGGAAGGGCATTTTTAAGGTTTTTTACCCTTTGACCTAGTCATTCTACTTCTAGGACTTTGTCTCAAGGAAATAACTATTTTAGATTTTTTCTTTCTTTCTTTCTTTCTTTTCTTTTCTTTTTTTTTTTTTTTTGCAGCCAGCCAGTACAGGGATCTGAAGCCCTGGATCTCGGTGTTACAAGACTGCACTCTAACCAGCTGAGCTAACTGGCCAGCTCAAGGAAGTAATTAGAGAAAAGTGAAAATGCTGTGTACAGTGATGTTCAGTGCAGCAT